TCAAGTCCAGATGCAGCCGCCGGGTGCTTTCCCGAGTCAAGTCTGGAAGCGATGCTCTCTCCTCCCAGGGCCTGGCTGCTTGATCTCAGCCAATATCTGGATTTTTATAGCTATGGATCAAAAGGGAAACACTGAAAAACGCATCACCTGGGGGCTGCGCTGCTTCCCTCTATGCCGCTTCCCCATGTGGGGCATCACAGCCTCGGCCAGGGATGCTGTGGGTACCCACACGCGGGGTCCAGAGCCCCACGGCAGCCCCCAGCCCCACGCACGGGTGGGGAACCAGGGGGGCCGTGCACCCCACCGCTGCACCGGAGCAGCCTGGGTGTTGGGCAGATTCTCAGAGGAGCTGTGTTTTAATGTAGCAATTTGATTCAATTTTCCACTCTATAAAATTACCCATCACTGCTCGTTGCTTCCTAACAGACACCTTCACTCTTAATTTAACAATCCTATCGAATTCTGCCAGGGAAATTGGAAAAATTTATCACCTGTGAAATTTTATTTTTCCTTGGTTGTATCTGTTTTTGTAAAACTTCATTAACGACGATGACTTGCTGAGGAAATTATCTCTTCATCTTCCCCCCCCTTCCCCTTTTCTTTTTTCCCCCTCTTCTCCCTTTCTCTCTCTGTTTTCACCCAGGACATGAGGGGGGCAGCTGAGCCTGGAGGAGACCTGTGGAGCCTGTCGGTGAGCTTTGGAGAAGCTGGGATGGGCAGGACAGAGAACTCCCAGGAACAGCTCATTATTAAAGGAAGGGTTTGGCTGGGATGTTCCCTCCTCTGCAGCCCCAGCATCGCGACGTCGGGCTGAAGGTGGAAGAAGCCTCCAAGGGTTAAGCTGGCGGGTTCAGCTCCATCCCGGAGCAGGAACAACGGTGGGGTCTGTCCCTAAATCTGTGCAAGGATCTCCATGAGCCACGTGTGGAACAGCTCTCGGCAGCCTCGAGGTGGGTTCAGCACGCACGTAACACTTTTGATGGCCGCAAATATAAAGTTCTGGGAGAAACAAGGAGAAGCGAGGACCTGTTTCTCATCTCTGAACGCAGACACTGAGCGTGACCCCGATTTCAGAACAGCCCTCGGGTTTGAATCAGGCGTGGGTTGACCTGTTCACCAAGCCCTGGGGCATGCCACACCGTGATTCCTGCTCTAACGGGAAGAAACGCCACAGCCCACATCAGTCTGTTTGGTTCTGAGACAGGATGACGGCTCCTGGCTCCTCCACCCAGCCCTGCTGCCTCCAGAACTCGTGCACTCTTGGTGAACAAGCGTTATTCTTTAATGGGGTTATTTTATCATCTCTTGGAAGGCCAGTAATTGTGTTACAACCCTGCCTGCGTGCCCAGAAGGGAGCATTTTCATCATCTCAAGTCTGTTTTTCCAGGTAACACAGCCCAGAGATCCCACTCTCACTAAACTTAATATTACCCGAGCTGGATGGAACCCAACCGCCAAGAGCTGCCTCACCTGAATAGAAAGGGTTTGCTCTTGTGGTCCATCAATCAATTCTGACAAAGAAACGGGGTCAAACCTTTGAGTTACGAGTCTGTCAAACTCAGCAGAGCCTGAGATGTTCATTCCCATCAACGTGACACATGGTCAAGGTCTCCTGCCACATCCCTGCGGGGCTGAGGGGAGGGGACGGCTCGGGTTTGGCTTGCTTACCTGGCAAAACCTCGTAGATGTCATCCTCTTCCATCTCGACGTTCGACTCCTCCTGATTCAAGGTAGTATTGTGGGATGATGTGTTCACCGAGTCCGAGCTGTCCACGTCATTGTAGAGCTCTTCTTCATCCTCTTCATCACATGGGATAGTGAGGGAGCTCAGGTCTGGCAGGAGAGAGCACAAGCACGGTGAGAAAGGGAAAAGCAAAGCACTGGCCGGATGCTGGTGTTTGCAGGGAGCTGAAATCAAGTGACAGAGCCTGTGCCACTGTACTTTGTGCTCGGTATGGACCTTGCAGGGAGTAAAGTGTCCCCTTGCTTGGCTCACGAGCACCTGGTGTAACGAAAATGGGACGGAAGCTGGGAATAGACTAAAATAAAGGAAAAGCCCAAGAAAGGATGGGAAATGCCAAAGAGGAAAGCGAGATTCAACAAGTGCCTCAAGGAACTGAGTCTGACTCCACTCCTGTGGTTTCCAGAGGGTTTTCAGCCCCAGGACTGGAGTCTTGTCTCAGTATTGCCAGTCTCAAACTGCATCAGCCAAGGTCAGAACAGCAGATCTGCAAGCCCAGCAGTGAGGAGCGATTCCCACCCCATGTGGTGAGACCCACAGCCTTTGCCAGATCACACAACTTCGTCCTCTAAGAGCAGCCAGAAAGCTCTCGAGTTGAAACCAACCACCTGCTCCAAAGAGCAAAACCCCAGAACCTCTCTTTTGCCAAGAGGGGGTGCTGGGACCCCAGCAAGGTCCGGGTGGGGAGATGCTGCTGGGATCCGCCCAAGCGAATGGGACGCATTGGTTTGGGCCAAGCTGCCAGACTCACCCTTCAAGAGGAACTGGATCTGATCCACCCAGTCTTCAGCCTCGGCTGGGCTTGGAGCTGTGAACTGGAGAGAGAGTACCCTGTTATCGTGCTGGTTCTTGTATGTAGGAAGAGGAAAGAGATTCGCAGCTCGGACAGGGGATGGAGGTCTTGGATCTGCCATTCTCTACCTTTGGGAAAGCCATTTCGCTTTTTTATCTCCCTATTCCAAGCAGGGAAACAGAAGCGGAACGAAGCCAGACTATCCCAGAGGAAGGCTGTCAAGCCTAATTCATTAAAATAATTCAGATGAAAACCACAATCCCCACTGAATATACTACACTGACTCTGAAGAAACTCTACATCCGCCATCTCCCCGAAGCTCGAGAAGGCTCTTGCATACACTCGGTGGATTGGGCAGGGTTTTTCATTCCACCAGTTCTGGATGCTCAACAAATTGAAAGTTTAACTGTAACCTGGCCCTGGCTTTAAAAACAGGCTTCCCAAACCCAATCCTCCACTGCTTCTACCCCAAGTTCTCATGTCACCCTTGTGCCCCACAAGTTCGAAGAGAGATCATTCCCGTTCTGAAATAAACTTCCCTTGTTCCAAGGCAAGGTCCACGATGACCTGCCGAGAAGGAGAAGTGTTGGTACCTCCTGCAGTGCTCTTGGTTGGTCTTATCACGGGGTCTGGAGACCCACGGCCTCCTTGGTCCCACGGGTAGCCTGCACCCCAGACCCGGGACAGGGTGCTTTTGCCCCAAACCAGCTCAGAAGATCCATTTCTTCCCCCCGTTCCTACCTCATAGGTGCGTTTGCCAGGGCAGATTAACTCGAAACAGCATTTTTTTCGAGAGTCTTTGCGCAGGTGAAGAGCCAGCCGGGCGTTATAGTGCTCGATGGAGAAGTTGCCTTTCGGTTGCTTGCCTGGAAGAAGAGGAAGACGCTAAATCCAGAGTTTCCATCTTTTTTTTTCTTCCATTTTTTTTTTCCCCTCAAGCTCACAGTGCTCTTGGGTGTCGCCCATGTTGGGAAACCAAGGTACACCTTGTGTCCGTGTGGGACGGCCAGAAAAATACCCAACCTTTTAGTCTATGCATGCCCATCCCCAGGAAATCCAAAGGGAATATTATAATTTCTTCATAAAGAGCCGGTACAGAGGATGCCCTTTAGAGCCTCAAGAGATCACGAGCAGCCAGCGCGAGGTTGCCGGGGTCAGGAGGTTGCCTGACACGAGCTGGTTATAATGAAGCAGAGACCGATACCGATGATGATTCTGCTGGTAAGGCATTAACGGGCCGGCGTGCAGGAGGAAATACTTAGCGGGGCCCCTGAGGACTGGCCCACGGATCTTGCTGATGAACACGGTGTCAGTCCAGGTGGAGAGAGGGAACATCCCTGCAGTCATCCCAGGCGCCTTTATTCACCTCAGCTCATTATTTCCTTGTGAATCTTCCCGAGGAAGCGTGGGAGTACAATTCAGGCAGTTACTCTGAATATTTTAAATTTTTTTTTTTAATTTATTTATTTGCAAATCCTTAAAAAAAACACCAGGGGTGAGGCCAAGCCCTCTGTAAGGATTTGAGCCCCTTGAGAACAGGTTTGCTTTGGTGTCTTCTGGAGACCATGGGGAAGCTGACAAGTCCTCACTCCCCTCCCCAAAAAACAATCAAACATCAACCCTCGGCTTCAACCCTGCGAGCAGCTCATACCCCTGCCAGGGCGAGGGAAGTTGGGAACCTTGGTTGGAAATAAAAAAGTGTTCAAGATCCTCAAGAAAAGCAAGTGGAGGAAGGACAGAGACCCAGCTCTGGAGTTTAATCGCACCCCAACCGCAGACTTGATCATCGCCAACCGCGTGTATTTTGTTTTCATGCCGCGTTTCTGGATGGGTGGAAGAGGGGAAGGCCATATATCTAAGCGTGCCAAACTCTGTTGGAGATATTAGCTGTCTGTTTATATGTACCTGATGGAGCATGACTGCAAAATATTTATATACACTGACACACGGGTTATATACAGGCACTGAGGGGGCTGAAGTCCTGGTGGCAAACATGGTATGTTGTTTTATTTATGCACAGTTCTGTTGCTGTGGGTTCTCTTCTCTTGTTCTGTACCCATAAAGGTGTTTGGAGGGGGGAAAAAAAAGGCAGCAAACTGAGATCTGCCTTTCTAGAACCTGTATTTTATGCCTTGAGAGGGAATTACAACCTTCCTATGGCATGTAGAACCACACAGATGGGCTGGTGTTGGAAGGGACCTCTGAAAATCATCCACCCAACCCCCCTGCCAGAGCAGGATCACTTTTCTCTTGTCAGGCACCAGCCCGTCCTTCAGCGAGGGCTCTCTCCTTCTCTTTTCCACCCCTCTCACACCACCCACAGTCCAGGTATTTCACCACTTACTTCTCTCATTGGCATAGTAGTAAAAGGTCTTTCTGTCGAGCACACACCACCGCTTCTGCCACTCCGACCCGAAAAAGCTGTGCTCTGGAAAGAAAAAGTCAGCAAGAGAATAAGAAAAACCAAAAATAGTAATTTCTCTTCTTTCACTGTATGCTTTGGATGAATATTTAGTGCAAAGAAGACTTGCTTTTCCCCCCCAACCCTCAACACGACTCTGCAGATTTCTGGCACAAAATTCAAGCAAAGTGAGTTTAAATACAAAACCTCAACAAAGTAAGGGAGAACCAGCCTGTCCTACCCTGCAAGCCTTCCCCAGCTCTCCAGGTTGGGCTGCTGTGACCCTTAGTCCTGCTAACTGGGAGGAAACAGAGTTTTGGGTTAAACCTCCCTAATTGAGGTTTAAGAAAATGTCTTCCAGCCTGTAAGCTAAAAACATGCACAGGGCCAGCTCAGCTGATGGCCGTGAGGAAAGAAAAAAAAGGGCTGTTCTTGCCTCATACCACCTGTCATACGTTAAATAAATCAAGATAAAATCTGAGTGATGAGGAAATAATTTGTAGCTTTCACAAGAGTCAGTAAAATCAAGATAAACCTGAGGCTGACTCACGGTCCTTATCTCAACTTGCTAATGTGTGTGATGCTACAAACTACCTTGTCTTCACCGGGATTTTATCCTCATTAGGCAGTGCTCCTTAGAAGGGCACATCTTGCCTTAGAGGACTGGGCTGCTGCTGCTTAATTTGATTTCTGGGTTTTAATCTTCATGCGGTTTGAGGATCTGCAAGAGAGAATAAACACAGGCTGCGCCCTCCCTGCGCCTCTGACGCCTGCGAAAGATTCTGCATGTGCCTACGGATAAATCTGCAGAGAAGATTGTATTCTCCTGCCTGCTCTTCGTCTGAAAATCTGGTAATTCTGAGGTGACGCGCCCAAAAGCTTTTCTTCTGATGCAGTGGTTGGGCCTTACCTCGAGACCTCTTCTCCAGATAGCCTTGCTTCAAAACGTTCCCTGGGTCTTGAAGGGACTTCGGGGGGATCTCCTCCAGCCCTGCAGAGAGCAAAGCAAAGTTCTACTAAAATATAATAAAAAATGACCAAAGAAACGTCACTAAGCACCTCCCTGGTTATTCGGTATGATTATGCACGGTGATTCAGTCTGAACAGCCTCCCAAAATCCCAGGTGACAAGAGCTTTTCTCGTTTTCCTACCGCTGCAATGCTTGGAGGACACGGACAGCCCCTTCCTGCAGAGAAAAACCTCATTTCTCTCCTGTACAGTTCAAGTTGAGCTCATTTCTGACCTGGCTCTGGAGCAGCACACCACGGTAGCTTTGGTGGGAAGGGAAAGGAGCAGGGTTTCACCTTCAATGTGTGCAACTCACTGCACAAGTGGTTGGGGAGCTGAAGGGAGATCGAGACCTGCTTGCAAGTAGCACTGAACGTCAGGTTTCTTATTAAAAAACCCAAAGGACGATGCTGAAAAACCCTTTCGGAGTTCACAGTGGCCAGTATCAGATTTTTCCCAATGGTGGAAGGCACGGAATAAAGTCCTGAGGTGGCTCTGGGCACCCTCGGAGGTGGGACCCTGCACTGCCTGGGGCTTTAACGGGGTCAAACCATCCCCTGAGCTGCCACCAACCCGGCATCCCTCCTGCTCCACACAAACACACTCAGGCTTTTCTCCAGTGACAAAAAGGCACATCGCCTTCTCGAATCCAAGCCCCGACCCCTTTTGCTAATGCAAATCTAAATGTCATTTTACGGGACATTTATAATTATGAAAATGGGACGGTGCTGCCGGATGCACAGGGGGACCCCGCGAGTATGAATATTACATTAATGTGCCCAACGCCAGCTCGCTGATCCCGCTGGCAGGAGCATAAAAAATGCTTGAGTGAAACTTTTATTTAGACGTTAAGAATCCAGGCCCCAGCGGGGTGACAGAGGCAGCCCCGGCGAGATCCCATCAGCGCGAGCGCTCGAATTGAATTACCCAGGGGGGAAGGCAGGAGCTGCGAGTTGCTGCTTCGCTTGTTTAATTTCATTTACTTCCAGTACATTATCAGCATGAGGCTTCCCTTTGCCCCTCGTTCCCCCAAGAAAAGCGGCTGCAGAAAGCGCCGGATGCTGCTGTCGCTTAAGCCAAGGCAGGGACGTGCCCGGCTGTCCTGGTCCTCCTCGGGGTGTGCTTCCAGCTTTTTCCTCAGCTGCCAAGAGAGATTTAGGGGGGGTGCAAGGATCTTGCAGACACCACAAAGAGCAACCGAAGTGAGGGAGCAGCACGGATGCGATGGGAGACAGCAACAACCTCTTCCAGCCCCGCGTCTTCTCTCCTCACCCGTCATTTCTTGCTCTAAGCAGGCAGGACCCCCCGGGAGAGCCGCCGCCTTCTCAGTTGTGCTTTGCCTTATCCGAGATCCATCTCCCACACAAACGGACCCCACCTTGCAGGGTATCAGTGGCTCTGGGTGCCAGGATCTGCTGGGCTGGCACATCTCTGCGGCATCGCCCTTAAAATCCCATCAGGAGCCCACATCCCCCCTGTTTTGCAAAAGATGCCGTGCCTCAGTTTCCCAGCAGGAAAAATCAGAAATGAAGGAGACTCCCTTCTTCTTAAATACTCAGTGCCTGCTCGGACAAACTAACACGATTAAGGACGGGTTGCGCGGGCTGATTCGATTGCACGGGGCTCTGGAAATTCTAAGTTTTACAGAATATGACATGAAGACGGCAGCTGTAACCTGTGTGTTGCAGGCAGCCTCCCCAATGCTAAACCAGAGTAGAGAAGATTAAATCTGGGCAAGGTGGGTGAGTGCTATGGGAGGGGTCTCCGTCCCTCCCCACACCCCCTTCCTGCCCCTAACAACAAACCAGATGGCTTTCGCCAGCAGCAAAGAGCTAAATTAACCTGCAAAGCCAGCCCTTGGGGGTATTTTTATTTCTTTAAACCATCCTAATGGACACCAGAAGATCCAAAGAGGCTCAGCAGCCACAGAAAGCTCTCTGGTTGCTGAGGGTTTATTTGCCCAGGACCACATCGCTGGCAGGTAAACCACAGCTCACCCCATCTTCTAGGACTCCAAGCGATGGAAAAGCCAGCCCATCGCCTGGTCATCTGTTCCAACCACTAATGGCCATTCACCATTTATAAAAACAGACTAAAAAAAGGCCTTAAATTCATTGCTTGGGGCTGTCGCTGTGTTTGGGTGGTCTTAGTGGTCCCTTCCAACCTGTATCTCCCCCAGTCTCCAAACCCCTCGTGGTGTCTCCTTCACCCTCCGCAATCTCTCAAGCCCGGCTCCCAAGGGAGCTGCTCGTCCCCAAGAGGTTTCCTGCACATGGATCTCCCAACCCATGATCCACATCGCTCCATCTGGAGCCTCCGGCAGAAGGGCTGCACGCCGGTGGCACCGGGAATAGCTCCGGGCGTAATCCCAGAGACCACTTTTCTGCAGAGGATGCAAAGAGCATTGCAGGAGCGGGAGAAAACTGGAGGCAGAGCCCCACGGCCAGGGATGCAGACACAGACACCGGCTCTTTTCTTTCCCCTTGTTATTCCACCTCCACTTTCGCTGTGATTTGCATCCCCCAGGAGCTGCTGAAAGATGCTCTCGACCTCAACAGCTTCACCCCTGTGCCCCTCTGGCTTTGCTGACCAAATGGCGTCTTTTTTTGGGCAAAGTTCCTAGGAGTTTGGCTGCCGGGTGGTGCAACCGTTCCTCCCCATCCCTGCCATGTCCTCAAGTACCTCTGGATGCCGGCTCTCGCCCCTCTGGGCTCTGAGTCATGCACAGCAGCTGCACAAAATGTCACAGCAGCTGCGGCCAAAGGCGCCCGGGGGCCGCGGCGGTGCCCACGCTGTCACATCGCCCGCTGTTCAAAGGGACGAAGTGGGCAGGCACGAAGGTTACAGCTAATTCCCCGTCCGCCAGCTTAGTCACCAGGCTCCAACGTGCCAAGAGCGGATTCTGCTGGCGGGGACTTCGCAGGGAACACCCAAATACATTTCAAAGCAGAGCACAATCGGCTCTGCCGGTCCCCAAAGCCCTCCGTGCTGGCTGCGCGCTTTTTCCATTGAAGCTAATGAGAAGGAAAAAAAAACAATCAGAAAGAGACAAACAACCCCTCCCGTCGCCTTCAAAGCGAGATGGGCTGGGGAAATGTTGGAAGCTTTTGGAAATGTCACCCGCCGCCACGGTGTGCCACGGCAACCGGGTCCAGGATGGCGCTGAGGGACCGATGGCACTGAGGGTCGCTGCCGAGCGGGGCTGTTCAAACGCGGGTTTCATGCAGGCAGAAAGAATCACAGGATCACAGAAACACAGAATTGCAGAAACACAGCATCACAGGATCACAGGATCAGAGAATCACAGAATCACAGAAACACGGCATCACAGAAAAGCAGAATCACAGAATCACAGAAATACAGGATCACAGAGTCACAGAATTGTTGAGGCTGGAAAAGACCTCTGAGATCACCAAGTCCAGCCTATGAAGGAGCTATTTGCAAGCTTTTTGGTCTCTGATGGGAGAATAAAGCTTCCTACATTCAAACTTTTAGCTGGATACCTCGGGCACAGCTGGGTCAGCGCCAGGAGGATGCTGCGGCCCCGCATGGGCAGGGGCTGGTGTCCTGACGGAAGGGAGCAGCAGGAGAAAAGCCGTGGTGGGACACAAGCCCATCAGAGTGGTCCCTCCCCATCCCTGCCTCCCTGTCCCCCTGCTCCGGGTCACATCCCATCTCCTCGGTGGCTCCCAGTGCCCCTTGGAAATGCTTTGTCCCTCGAGGATGTCACCGAAGCTCTCAGCGCCTCGGGAGCGGCTGGGCATCATTTATGAGGGGAACGAAACAAATTTCGAAAGCAAATGGGGAACGAAACAATTGTCAACACGGCTCACATGAGATAGATCTTGTGCCAGCCTAACTTTATTGCATTATTTTGAGCAGGAAAATAAGAAAGTAGACGAAGAAAAGGCAGAGAAGATTTATTCAGGCTTCAGCTTGACTTTTCAGAAGAGGCTAGTAAGCAAAATTCAGGGCGTAGGCATCCACCCCGGGATAACTACCTAGATGGAAAGCTAGTCAGCAGGCAGGAGGCAGCTAAAAATCAATGGCAACAAATCAAATATCAAATGAAATAGACCCTTGTTCAGCTTCAGGATTAGTTGTCCTCGGGCTCGGGAGCCTTCGGATGCTACAAGAACCCAAAAACTGCGGCGAAGCCCAGAGCTGCCTTCAGGATGGGTGAGGAATCGCTAAATGCCCCCTTGTAGCAGCCAGTAAGGACCAGTCCTAAAGGCAGGAACCAAGATTAACTGGTCCCAGGCATGGGTGGGGGCTCTCACCAAGCGCCGACGGTCGGGAACGCCGACAAAATCCACAGAAAACCACGATTCTCACCTGGGGCTGAATTAACTGTGTTGCCCCACATGTCCTCACAACTAATAAGTGAACACAAACAAATCGGGGACGTGCAGATGGACCTTTGTCGGGCGCGAGTCGGCTTTGGATTTGCTGTTATTTTTTGAGAGAAGTCCTCGACTGTGGTTTTTATGATTGATAAGCAAAGAGACAGTCAATGGCAAAGAGTTGATGGGGGAACAGGCTGGGATTTAGCCCGAGAGGGGGGAAAAAAGCCTCCAACTTTTATTGGTGGCTTTTTTTTTTTTTTTATTCCGTCTGGAAAATTCGACAGCGAGTTTGAAGTCAAACCAACTTTGTCCAAAGAGGGGGGAAAAAAAAAATTCAAAGAGGAGGCAGAGCCTTTGGCCTCAAAGTTTCCTTCCAAACCGCTAAGTCCGTAATTGCAAAATAAAAAACACTAAATCTCAATATCTATTTGCACAGCTCATTAGACAAGGGCTCGCACTCAGCAAAGAGGGAGGGGGAAAAGGAAAAAAAACCTTCAGCACCAAGTGGATTTTGGGAGTTGCTATGGAAACCAGCCCTTCCATGCAAAGCCCTGCTCAGATGGGTCTGTCTGTCCACCGGTCGGAGATTTTTTTAAAGCCCTCTGAAGCCAAAAAAAAAAAAAAAGGCGTACCGTAT